GAGGTCCTTTAACATCTGCTGGACAATGCTGAGGATGTTTTATGAGTCTGTGGTGGCCAGTGCTATCCTGTTTGCTGTTGTGTGCTGCAGGGGCAGCAGGTTGAGGTGACATTGTGGGGGTTGAGCTGGACTCTTTGACAGCAGTGTCAGAGAGGAAGATGCTGTCCAAGCTACATGTCATCTTGGACAGGTCTTCTCCCACACACTCCACAAGGAGCTGGTCAAACACAGGAGGTCTTTCAGTGCAAGAGCAAGCACCACAGGATGTCATTCCTGCTTATGGCTGTCAAAGTCCTCCCTCAGAGTTTCAGACACTCTGAATCACTGTCATTAAACTTCCACTTGAAATGTTACTGTGGTTAATGTGCAAAAAAAATGTTAAAAGATGTTAAGGATTCAGCTATCATTACTATTTATTCATTATTCATTACACTTCTGTCATATACTGTAGCATACATATATTTCCATCTTTTATGTACATACTTCAGACTTTTTTTAAAATATATTTATATTTTCTCTGTATATATAGTTTGTTAGATATTGCATTACCTATTTTTAAGGTTCTAATTATTTTTTGTCTTGTGAGCACCTTGAGGAACTGTAATGCAACAAACTTCCCACTGGGGATCAATAAATTTTTTCTGATTCAGATTTTTGCAATGTGTTAAAATAATAGTTGAGCAAGCCTTGTTCAGTAGCTTTCTCCTTGCCTGTTCTTTGATATTCTATCTGCTATTAGCTAGCTAGTTACATCGTAAAGCTAATCTTAGCTACAGCTTACTTAGCTAATTTAAATCAACTATTAGTTGTTAGCCACTTACCTAGCGTTTCGTGAACATTAGCTAACTTAAGATGTGACTGCATAATGCTATGCGTCGCTTTTACCTTTAACCATCTTCATGATTTGGATGTCTTTTCAACATAAACTATAGCACTACTATAAAATGTTTAAATGTGGCACTCATTTGGACCTTTGGGTGGAATTCTGATATTATTCCTGCACATACTGTATGCATGTTGAGGCAATCTGGGCTAGAATATGTAATGAAGGTGGGCTTTGTTTCACTAGTTGAGGTAACTACTCAGTCTGAGCTCCTCTGGGAAAACAGCAGGAGGCAAAACGAAAGAAAAATTGAACTGTCCTGCTTCTGTTGTCATGGCAATGCCATATCCCTGGGAATTGGGGAGTATACGTCCTGACCCCTGCGTCTACCATCAGGGAAAAAGGTCAGCGTTAGAAAGAGATGGGCTGTCCTGAAGGTTAGCTCTTTGCTTTAACAGCTGCATACATTCTGCTGTGCAACACTTCCACACCCATGCACAACCACGGATAAAGACATATGCAACCACATGAACGCATAGTGCACACAAAATACACACAGTACTTGAGTGAAGACTAGGGTTTTTTCTCCCGACCAGGTAACTCATCTAGAAGCAATCATATCCCGGCAAGTGGGTGGATAGACACATCGCTGAAGTGATGGGAGCATGAGGC